CTCAGGTCCCACAGACCACATGACTAGTCAAAGGTCACATTTAAATGATTTTGAAAAATTGTCCAAACAATCTCAAGTCTCAGTTGCTAATGGTAAAGGTGCATCAGTTTTAGGGAAAGGAAAAATCAAGTTGATTTCAAAAAATGTAGAGTCAGTTGCTCTTTATATTCCTTCATTTCCTTGTCATCTATTATCTGTTGAAAGAATCACAAACTCTTTGAATTGCCTTGCCATTTTTTCACCTCATAATGTCATTTTCCAGGACATTGTCACCAGTAGGGCTGTAAGCAAAAATTGCCAAACCGAAAAATCGAACCGAAATCGTATTTTAGAAACCGTCGGTTTGGTAACACATGGACTCGTCAACGAAATGGTTTTGAACACTGGTTTGGTTTGGGTTTGAGAATTTTAATTACGGTTTAAAATCAAATCGGACCGACGAAAAATATATAAAAATAAAAAAAAAGAAATTTTTTTGAAAATTCATCCAAATATGTAAAATTCAATAGTTTTCTCATTTGTGTGTATTTTTGTCAATTTATAATTTCTATTACATATATATATTATTATTACCAAATAATCATAATTTATATTTAATAATCTCAAGACTAACCTAATCTAAAAAAACCATTTTCCTCTTTAGAATTCAAATTTTTACAGTTGTTTCTGAGTCTGCATTCCCAACTGGAAGTCGGATACTTGATTCACTTAGGAGTTTATTAGATACAAGGATGGTTAAGGCTTGTATATGCTGAAAGAATTTGTTGCAAATTAAGAATGAACCTATAGTGTTGCGCCAATATTTAGATGAAGCGGACGCATTTGATGATTCAATGAAAGTTGTGGTAGATGGTTTATATTTTCTATTACCATATTCTTAAAAATTCTCTTATCGATCTAGTATCAAATACTATGATGATGTAACGAATGCATTTGTTTGACGATGGAGACTATGAATTATATGTGACAACAATTGATGTTTGAGTATATGTGAGAAATTGAATTCGTAATAATATACGACGGTGAGCTTGTGTAATTGTTATGTTTAGATATTATAAACAATTGATTTATTATTATGGTTGATTATTCTCATGATGATCACGAGGTCTTGTTGAACATCATTATGTTTTTTGGACTTTATATTTAGTTTAGTAGACTTGTATCGTAACGTTATCGTAACATCTTAGCCTAAAATGGCAAACAAAAAACTATATTTTAATTTATTGTGATTTCACTTTGATTTAATTGGTATTTAAATTTGTAGTAGATATATTTAGTTTGTTTTAGATTTATTGTTAGTAAGATATAAATATATATTGAATTCAATGAATTAATGCCATAAAAGTAGGCAGACAAAAAAATATACGGCGAAACCGGCGGTTTAAAATCGGACCAAACCGTTAGGTTTAGGTTTGAGTTTTTTTCAAACTGTTCAAAATGGTTTGGTTTAAGTTTGGGCTTTTCTCAAACCGGTTTAAACGGTTTAGTTTGAAAATTTGTCAAAAATCGGTAAAACCGGACCGCTTACACCCCTAGTCACCAGGAAGAAGATTGGTGATGGTGTTTATCCGAATGGATTGTACTATCTATCAAAGGATCCTCAAATTTCCAAAAGTTTACAAGTTAGTTCCAGTCCTACACAAGATCAACGTCTTTGGCATCAACGTTTAGCTCAACCTTCTGATCTAGTGTTGTCAAAGTTGTTTCCATTTTTTTGTAAAACCTCCATGACTTGTGATATTTGTCACTTGTCGAAGTCTGCTAGGTTGCCTTTCGGCATTTCTATGTCTAAGTCTAGCAAGCTGTTTGAAATTGTACATTCAGACATTTGGGGTCCGATTTTTTAATCTTTTGATGAATACAAATATTTTGTAACCTTTGTTGATGATTACTCAAGGATTACTTGGTTATATCTTTTAAAATTTAAGAGTGAACTGTTGAATTCGTTCCAGGATTTTCATCGACTAGTCACCACACAATTTTCAACCACCATTCATACCTTAATGTCTGATAATGGCACCGAGTATATGCCTAATAACATGTCACAATATTTGAGCATACATGGCATTATACACTAAACAAGTTGTGTTGGAACACCTCAACAAAATGGCATCGCAGAAAGAAAAAAATCGAGATTTGCTTGAGAAAACTAGAGCCCTAATGTTTCAAATGAACGTGCCCAAGAAGTTATTGTCTGAAGGTGTTCTTACTGCTGTCTATCTTATTAACCAACTGCCTAGTCGTGTGCTACATTTCAAATCTCCCTATGAAGTGATGAAGGATAGAAAGATTGATTTGTCTTACCTAAAAGTCTTTGGATGCACAGTTTATGTTCATATTCAAGCGCCAAATCGTGATAAACTTGATCCTCGAACTGTTAAATGTTTGTTTTTAGGGTACTCATCCACACAAAGGGATACAAGTGCTACAATCCTACCACCAAGAAAGTTGTTGTATTACGTGATGTTAGATTTGATGAGGGAACACCTTATTTCAGTAAATCTCTAGAAAATAGTGGTCAAGGGGGAGCTTGTTCTTGATCTTCCTCCCTTGCCTACTTCTAACATCACACTTGACTATGCTGCTCCAGCTCCTTATCATGATGATCAAGAAGTCTCAAACCTCGTTGTCATTCCTGAAGATATTCATTATAAGCCTTCTAGTTCAGTACCTCATTTGGACTCTTCACCATAGCCTTTAGTCCCAGTCATACGAAATCCTACTCGTGACAGACATCCACCACCAAAGCTACATGATTATGTTACTTATCATGCACGGTATCCAGTAACCAATTTACTTACATATCATAGGGTTTCCTCTTCTCATGCTGTTTTTCTTAGCATAATCTCCAATGTCCAAGAACCCCGAAATTTTCAAGAGGGAAATATATCCATTGAATGGCGAAATGCTATGGCAGAAGAAATGCAAGCTTTAGATGCAAATAAAACATGGAGTGTTGTTCGATTACCTCGAGGAAAAAGGGCTGTTGGGAGTCGATGGATATATAAGACTAAGTTTTTCTCAGATGGCTCAATTGAAAGGCACAAAGCTCGGTTAGTAGCTCGTGGATTTACACAAACCTTTGGCATTCACTATAAGGAGACCTTTGCTCCTGTGGCTAAAATGAATACTCTGAGGGTCGTACTATCTATTATTGTTATACGTTAAAAACTCATTCTTGCATGGAGATCTTAAAGAGGAAGTTTACATGAAACTTCTTCCAGGCCATCTTTAATCACGTGATTCGACTTTGGTTTGTAAGTTTCATAAATCAATTTATGGGTTAAAACAATCTCCCCGTGCATGGTATGCCAAATTAAGCTCTGTACATGAAGCAGTTGGGTTCAAACGTAGCAATGCTGACTCCTCTCTTTTTGTTTACATTGGATCAGTCGGCAAGTTTGTTGTCCTTATTTATGTGGATGATCTTATTATTACTGGTGATAATGTTGATGAAATTGAGGCTCTCAAATGTTCTCTTAGACAAAAGTTTTCTATCAAAGATCTCGATTTTCTGAAATGTTTCATTGGCATTGAAATGGCCACTTCTTCCAAAGGTTTATTCCTCAACCAAAGGAAATATACTCTCGATTTGCTCCAAGAAGCTGACATGGAGGACTGCAAACCTGCTAGAACACCTCTTAATAGGAAACTGAACATGGATATGGGCGGTGATCTTCTTGACAATGTGAGCTACTATAAACGTTTAGTAGGTAAACTCATTTACCTCACTATAACCAGGCCAAATATCACATTTGCGGCCAGTCTAGTCAGTCAATTCATGCATTCTCCAACTACTGCTCATCTTCAAGTGGTTAAGCGCATTCTACGGTATCTCAAGGGCTCTATCGATCGAGGTATTCTTATGAAAAACAACTCAAACACACCGATTCTTGGCTACACGGATGCTGACTGGGCAGAGAACTCTCTTGATCGCAAATCTACAACTGGTTTTTGTTCCTTTGTTGGAGGCAACTTGGTTACACGGAAAAGCAAGAAGTAAACCTTGATTGCTCGTTCCAGTGCAGAGGCTGAATATAGGGCTATGGCTTCCACTTCACGTGAACTTATTTAGCTCAAGGGTCTTCTCTCTTATTTAGGATTTCCCAGTTCTCAACCAATGACTCTTGTGTGTGACAATCAGGCTGCTATGCACACTGCTTCTAACCCTGTTTTTAATGAACGGACAAAATACATCGAGGTTGACTGCCACAACATTCGTGCTCAAGTTCAGTCCAAGGTTATTCAAACTTACTACACCTGCAGCCAAGATCAACTAGCAAATATTTTTACCAAAGCTCTGTCGTTCACTCATTTTCAACGGCTGCTTTTCAAGCTTGGCTCAATTAATCCCTTAGTTCCAGCTTGAGGGGGAGTATTAGAAGTCACTCTCTTCTGTAGTCATGTTTATTGCAGCCCAGCCTACCTTAATTTCAGGAGTGTGCTTACTTTTCATGTTCAGCAAGCTGCTGCTAGACTCCTTCTAGGAAGAGATTGAGTGGTTTGTACTCAATCTCTATAGGCCTTTCATTTTTTTCTTCTATATATCCTCTATATATTTCCTCACAAACATACAATACGCAAGACAGAAACTTCTATAGTAAGCTTCGTGAAAGTATCACCACAACTTGTGATCCAATATGGATATACTTGATGCAAACCTAATAAGCAGGAAAATGTTACAGTGAAAGAAGCTAAAGACCATTTACTCAACCAATTTTTTCAATCCTTCTTTTTTTTTTTTTTGAAAATAAGGATCGTGAAAATGCAAAAAATTTAAGCCCTGATATAGCTTAAACTATAATTGAATTCTGATATTAACTCATGTACAGGAAGAAAACAATATACAATACTATGGAGTTTATATAAAATTCCAGTTTCCCACACAAACTATTAGGTAAGTGAACAATACAAAACAAATAGTTTTACAATCCATGCTATTTTAGACATCCGCTTGATCTCAATAACGAAATACGCTAACACAGGGCTAACGATCTAATTCAATGTTCTTGCAGCTTTTCGAGTTCTTCTGGGAAACGTTGCGCACTTCTTTCAGTTGGTGAGCCGGGTACGAAAGGAACAAAACCACGACCACCAAAAACAGGACGCATGAAAGCATTATCGAATTTTCTCCAATAATAATGGACCGTACGAGAGGATAGCCATAAACTGTTTGGATGGGGCACGTTTTGGCCAACTCCACTAGCTTCTGAAGTTTGTCCGTGGGTTATGCTTTGTCCATACAGATCGGTTAGTAAGAACCTCACCAGAGGTTTAGTGATCAAGCCAAACACCTGCATAGACCCAAAAGGCCATATGTTCATATCCTTCGACAATAAATGAAGTATAAAAGTCATGTATTGAACCACCTCATTCAAAAAGTTAACAATGTCAGAGAGAACAAATTTCTCTAAGGCTTTGTTTGGTAGCACCAAATTTTCTAGGGAAGTTGGAATTCATTTTCCATTTTCCACTTTTAAGCTGTTTGGTAAGCTAAATTTTGCATGGAATTTATTTTCCACCCTTATCTCATTTTCCACCCAATTCTTGGTTTTCCAAGCTACTTTTTCTCTCTCTCTCTCTCTCTTTTTTTGGGCAATTGGAATGAATTCGACTCCTAAATGTAATAAATTATATCCATTTAATTGACAATTCTCATGAAAAATAAAGCCAAACGAATGGTATTCGGTATGATAATTTTTATTTTTTATTATTTAGTAAGTGGAACAAATTTTAGACCCAATGGTAAACAAAATTATCACTTTAATGAATTATTTTCATGAAAAACGAAGTCAAACAGATATCAAAATTTCAACATTTTTCAGGTGAAAAATTATACCAATCAAACACAATTAATTACAATTCCGAGTAAAACAAATTCTAGGTAATTCAATTCCCTGCAATTCATTTTCTTTCCATCCAAATTCCACATTTACAATCAAACGGACCCTAAGTAGATTATTGATCAGATAAAGGTCGGGTATTCAAGTCTTGGAGTCACCATTTTGAAAATTTTGTCTTAGACGAGGTGTTTCAAACATTTTGGGATTGCACTAAGTGAAAATTTACAAAATTAGGATGATGGATTTCCAAAAAATGTTGGCCCGATTGTGTATCCTTCCAAGCAGTTTTCAAAAGCATGAGATATCTTACCACAGTGCTAAAAAGAACAACTGTTATGGTACTGGTAATCATGATAGCATTCTCTCGTACATTGGTGTGTCCCAAACTTGTAAACTGCACGAATGAAATGCAAAATTCTGTTAGAATTCCTACGATATAGAATACAAACTTACCATCCTTTTATCATTTCCCGTAAAACCAGGGGCGGACCCAGGGGGGGTCCTGGGGGGGCACGTGCCCCCCAACTTTCAGAATTTTTTTTTTTTTTTTT